TCTTTTTCATGCGTGTATAGACTGGAGGGTCGGCTGGGGTCTGGCAGCCCCAGTGCTGGGGCTCGACTGAGGTGGTCCTTTATGGCCTGGAAAGCTTTCTCTTCCTCAATGTCCCAAGAGAGAGACACCATGTCCGGCCCCTTTAATACCTGATATAAGGGTTTAGCCAAGGTGGCGTATCCCAGGATCCAGATTCGGCAGAACCCAGCTGCCCCCAGGACCTCTCGGAGCTCCTTCCGAGTCTTTGGGGTTGGTAGAGCTATGATAACTTTCTTTCTGTCTTGGGCTAGAACTCAGTTTCCCTGAGAGATGATAAACCCTAGATATTTCACCTGAGCCAGCATATTTGTGCCGTTTTCCACGACACCCGGTACCCTGTCCTAGTCAGCAGTTCGAGCAGCCAGCAGGTGCCCTCCCAGCACCGGTCTCGGGTTGGTGCTGCTAAATAGAGGTCATCCACATACTGTAGCAACACCAGGTCAGTCTCCCTCTCTGTGAACAGCCAGAGGTCCCTGGCCAGGGTCTCTCCAAAGAGAGTGGGAGAATTTTTGAAGCCTTGCGGCAGTGCGGTCCAGGTTAACTGGGTTTCTTACACAGTGCGTGGATCCCCCCATTCAAAGGCAAAGAGCAGCTGACTCGCCTTTGCAATCTGGAGGCAGAAAAAGGCATCTTTTAGGTCCAGACAAGTGAACCACTCGGCTCCTGGCGGGAGCTGACTGAGGAGGGTATACGGGTTTGGCAGTACCGGGTGTAGCATGGTTGTTGCCTCCTTCACTGCCCTCAGGTCCTGGACCGGCCTATACCCACTCCCATCTGGCTTCCGTACTGGCAGAAGGGGGGTGTTCCACGGGGACTGGCACGGTACGAGTATGCCTTCTTGTAGATGCTTGTGGATGACTTCCGCAATGCCTATCCTGGCCTCTCCGGAGGTGGAGTATTGGCCGACCTGCCTTGGGCTGGCTCCCGGTTTTAGACCTAATAATATAGGCGGATGGTTTTCTGCCAGTCCTGGCGGGTTATCTTCCGCCCATACTTTGGGATATTTTTCTCACAGGCTGACTTCTTTATCTTCTGCCTCTGTCTTCCAGTCCCCTTCAGCCCCCTGATATAACCGATACTCTTCCTCCCGGGGGACCAGGACTGCAGTGAGGCTTGGGGTGCCAACCTGTAGCTCGGCTTCTCCCCATGGATGGAAAATAACATGGGCTCCTAGTTTCGTGAGCAAGTCCCGCCCTAGGAGCGGTACAGGGCATCCTGGTAGGTACAGGAACTCACGCTTTATCTGGTGGCCCCCAAGTTCAACGGTTCGGGCCTAGCAGAATTGTTTGGGGGCTACTGGGCCATCCGTGGCTCCACTATAAAGATTTCATGGTCCGACAGCAGTGCAATGGGCGTAGTCACCACTGAGTGTTCTGCCCTGGTGTCTGTCATAAATGGGAGTGTTTGGCTCCCTACTGTCACTTTGACCATGGGCTCAGGGGGCCGAGATTCAGTGAGCCCGGTCCCTCCTAGTCTGAGTCCAAGCCAGCCAGGCTGAGGACTGCAGGTGCCTGTCGGCCTTCTCCTTTTCTTATTATAGGGGCACTCTCTTTCCCAGTGCCCTTTCTCTTTGCAATAGGCGCACTGGGGTCTACGCTCTGGGTGCCGGTCTATTTCCTTTCTCAGATGGCTGTTTTCCTCCTCCTCTGGTCAGCCCTTTCTTGCTCGGTAGGGGGTTACCAAGAGCGGCTGCCAGAAGAGATGCCGTCTCCCTCATCTTTTTCTGGGCCTCTCACGCTGCCGTCTCTTCCCTGTTGTTGCAGACGTTGTTAGCGACCTCTGTTAACTGGCTTATATTCATGGTGGCAAACCCTTCAAGTTTCTGGAGTTTCCTTCAGATGTCTAAGGCTGACTGGGAGATGAAGGCTGTGTTGACCATCCTCTGGTTATCTGGCCCTTCCGGCTCGAACGGGGCGTAGACTGAATAAGCCTCACACAGACGCTCATAAAAATCCCCTGGGCACTCATCGGGGCACCGGGTGACATCGGCTGCTTTCGACATTTTTGTCGGTTATCGGGCCCCTCCTCGGATCCCTCGGACGGCATCCCAGTAATGCTGGAGGGCAGCCCTCCTTCCCTCTGTATTGTGGTCACGGTCAGGCTGGGCCTCCGGAGCCACCGTCCTGGCCCATCGGACTGGGTCAAGGATGCCCACTGGTGCTACAGTCTCTAAGTATCGGTGGGTTTCCCGGAGGATATGCCTCCACTCCTCTGTGTTAAACAGGGTGAGGAGCAGTTGCCAGCAGTCATGCCAGGTGGGGCGGTGGGTCTGCATAATGGACTCCATGAGGTCTATCAGGGCCTGGGGCTTCTCTGAGTAGAATGGGGTGTGGTGCTTCCAGTTTAGCAGGTCAGTGGTGGTGAGAGGCTGGTAATAGACAACGGTCCACCCTGGCTGTTCGGGACCATCTGGCCCGATCTATGGCAGGGCCTGAGTCTCCCTTAAGGGCATCTGGACAGCAGGTCGGTGTCAGAGCCTTGTCATAACGGGCAGGCAGGTGGCTCAGCTGGAGCTGGTGCTGGGGAGACTGAGGGCAGTGGAGTTTCAATCTCTGGGGCCTGCAGGAGAGTTCCCGGAGCACATGGGGGAGGTAGACTGATCGGCGGCTCTTCCTCTGGCTCTTCTTTGAAAACGGGGGTGGGGGGCGGCGTGTTTTTCTTGACCAGGCGACTAAAACACTGGATTGCGCCACTTTTCACCTAGCACCGGCCTTTCCTACTGTCTTAGGCTTCTGACCTGTACACTGCCGGAGCCATGACGGCATGTCCTGTGCTAATTTCTGCCATCTGTCTATGTAAGTGTACTGATCTGGGTGTCCTGGCTTGCCTGTGACTTTTAAATGTACTGCCCGAATTATCCTTAAGTTCAGGGTTCCCTCAGGGGGCCAGCCTACCCCAAATGTTGGCCACTCTGATGTACAGAAAGTTTCTAATTGGTCTCGAGTCATGTTTGGGTCCTGGCCCCAAACCCGATCAAAGTTCTGCAACATGCAGTCTAGTACTGTAGAGGGTCCTGTGGCCATGATGTCCCTCCCACAACGGCACAGACAAAGGGATGGGGTTTCCAGTTTCGGTCGCCTAGCTTCTCCTCTCTCAAGGGACTTGGATCTGTCTTAGCTAAGGCTGCCCGAGTAAAATCCAGGTTAAACTCCCAGCCATTATGCCGTATGACCAACCAAGGAACCGCAGGTTGGGGCCCACTCAGACTCCATAGATTTTCACCTGTGGAGCCACTACTCAGTCACTCACACAAACACACAGACAAACCTCCAACAACACCCAAGAGTTTATACAGTCCCCTCGAGTAGGACTGCCCTAACCAAGTGGGGATATGTTTCCCCTGCAAAGTGGCCAATTGGCCTTTAAAGGACTTATGGCTAATTGCCTGCCTGAGAGATGATCAGTCTCTCCTTTCACTACAAGGGGTGGGTCTAGTCTCGGGTCCTAGTTCCCGGGGCACTCACCAATCCAAAGGCTGCGCAGCTCCCCGAGCTGGACTGGTTCACTCCCTCTCCTGCCCAGGTAGAGAGTGGGTCTTGCCGGCAGCTAACTGCGGAGTCCAGGATGGGTGAGAACCCTAAATAACCGAGGCCGCGCTTCCTCTCCATCATAGGGCTCCACGGAGCTCCCAAGGCAACCTCACCGGAGGCAAACGCCTGCTCGTGTGAGTCGTTTCCCAGTCAGGGAACCAAAATGTTACAGGAAGAACTCAGGCCGAACACTGGAGGAAGCGAAGTGGTTCCTTTATTTATGTGCTCGCAGACCCAGAGGAGGCAGTCTCCAAATTCTGGGCCCTAATCAGCAGGAAGCAATTGCTTACATAAGGTGAGGGGTGGTCTGTCACTTAGACCATTACTTCTGGTGGGAAAGCAAGAAGCAGCTTACAGAAGTGAAATGGTATCTCTAGCACACAGAGACACAATGTTGTCTCTAGCGCACAAATGTTATCTCTAGCAATCGTTATCTCTGGCGTGCAGGGACAAGCAAGAAACAAAGGGGAAAAAAAACAAGTCATTCCCTGGGTGCTGTGCTATGTTTTAAAATAACTGCCAATTTCCTCTAACAGAGTTACTTAAACATACCTATTACTCATAATGCCACTTCTTTGAGACATGAAATTCTCCCAGTGTGTTTTCCAGTATAGTTATTATTTTATTTGCTGTGCTTAACTGTTTGGCCCTCTGGGGCGTATTCCGTGTCTATGAATTGCGTGGTCAGAATTTACTGACTTAAGTTTCCGCGGAATGCAATGCGGTCTTGCCTGCGTCCTCACTCCTTATGCAGCTCTAACCGAAAGTGGGTTTGAAAAGGGGAGGAGGGGGCACGGACGGGCCTAGATGTAAGTTGAGGATGCCGACCACAATCTTGTGGAACAAAGACTCCTCATCAGGCGACAGGAGGGCCACGTCCACCCTAAGGTCCGGCCCTGGCTCGGGACTCCCAGCTCCTGCCGGGTGGGTTCCTCACCAGGTGCAGGCAAACTAGCCACGGTAACCGCCAATCCGCGGTCCTCGCTGCGAGACCCAGGGCGGCCAATCCCTGCGGGGCGGGGGCGGGGCGGGTCTTCTGTGCCGTCCAGTCCCGAACCCAGGGGGCTCTGCCCCCCTCTGCCCCGCCCTCTCAGCTTCTTCTGACCGCCCATTGGCGGCAGGACACTGGAATCCCAGCACTGATTGGCCGCTATCTAGGACGGAGCCTCCCCACCAGGGGCGGTAGCCAGGGAGCTCAGAGAGGACCGCATTAGGGGCCGCCGGAGACTGACCGGTAAGCAGGGACCCCTGCCACGTGGCGCCCTTAGCCCGAGACCTTCAAAGTCCAGCCTGAGAGACGCCAGATGCCCTCATCCTGAGGGACCCCAAACCCCTGTAGCATCGAGGGGCCCGCGTCCGCCAACCCGGAGGACCCACATCTCCTGACACCCAACAGCCCGAAAACCCCAGTTCCCCTCGGCTCGGGGGCCCCCAACCTGCAGCTCGCCCGGAAAGACCGAATCTCCCCAAACTCAGAGACGCTAAACACCGTCGTCCTGGAAACCGACTCAGTGGTGGGGACCCTGAAGCCTCTCGATGAGACGCCCCAAATCTCCTCAGCCGCAGGGTCTGACCCTCCCCCCGGCCTCAGTGTCCTCAGCCCGGAAGACGCAGGATCGGGTCTCAGGGACCCCGAGCCTGTCAGCCTGAGAGACGGCGTCTGCCGGGGACCCCGGGTGCACCTCCGAGCCCTTCCCCTGGAAAAGCGCGTTTCCCGCGCCGCCACAGGCCCGCCCGGCCGACCGAGCCTTTCAGACGCCCAGGCCGTGTCCTGCGGCTCTGTCCACCGGCGGCTCCCTCCTGCGTGGACACCGATCCGGGGAATTTGCTCCTTCGGTCACAGCAGGGCTGGCGCTGATGGTGCAGCGCTCACAGCAACTCGTTTCACTCTCCCATCCCAACCGAGCCGGTCCCACGGGCTTCCCGGTGCTTTTTGCTCCTCCAGGCTCTTTGCTTTCAGGACAAAGGTTTTGTTTCTTTTCAGGTCTCAGAGCCCTGCGACCAGCTTTCCTGTGTCACCACCCCAGGCAGGCCACCAAGCTCCAGGAGGAGGACCCTGAGGACTCTGATGAAGAATGGACTCCAAGGCAGCAAGGTGAGGGGCAGGAGGAACCTGAGCTGCCCTCCTGGCACGAACCTGGTTTAGGTCAGGCTGCATCTCAGGACATAACCAGGCAGCAGGGTTTGCTTGTCCAGCGAACAAGCAAGATGCAGAACAGTGTGTGGTACACTGAGGGGCTATTCCTGTAAACTTTCAAGTATGTCACATAACATATACATTTACAGATATATTAATAAGCAGTAAATGTATAAGAACATACAAGTGAACAAGAAATAACTAATTCAGAACAGTTGTTGTCACAAGAGAAGAAGGCAGGTCTGGCCGGTGAGGGGTGTTCTAACACCTGGCTGCCCAATGACCTGCAGGAGACGGAGGGGAAGCAATATTAACATGGTGATTACGGGAGCTGGGGAAGGCCAGGGACGGGAGTGGTTGATCACTGAATCATTTCCTGATGTCGGCCATGGTGCCATTCTGTCCAGTATCATGACTGTTCGGTGCGTAGAGTCAGTCCACTTCCATGGGTCTGGGTGTGAAACACAGCTGAAGTCACGATGTGATCTTTAACTTGATTGGAATTCTGTTTCTGTGGTCAACAGACTGTGGATGCCGACCAGAGTCTGATGATAAGGAAGGGCGTGGATGGCCAGTATGTGCACCGGCTGGGAGGATACCAGAGAAAGGAGGTGAGGGGGTCGTGGTGCCCTTAGCCCGGACAAGGCCAGTTTGAATGAAGACAACAGAGCAGAGAAAGGGTTATGTTGAAGACATGGAGTTTCTGTGCAGTTACTTTTATTACACTTTTGTCAGGAGAGCCCAACTTTTTAAAAATATATATTTTGTTGATTATGCCATTATAGTTGTTCTATTTCCCCCCTTCATTCCCCTCCACCCTGCACACCCTCTCCCCCACAATTACCCCCTTTAGTTTATGACCATGTGTCTTAAGTTCTTTAGATTCTATATTTCCCATACTATTCTTGTCCTCCCCTCTATCTATTTTCTACCTACTGTCTATGCTACTTATTTTTTGTACCTTCTCCCACTTCCCTGTTGCTAACCCTCCATGTGATCTCCATTTCTATGGTTCTGCTCCTGATCTAGCTGTCCTCTTAATTTGCTTTTGTTTTAGATGTGGTTGTTAATAACTGTGTTTGCTGTCCTTTCACTGTTCATCTTTTTTATCTTCTTTTCCTTAGATAAGTCCCTTTAACATTTCATATAATAAGGGCTTGGTGATGATGAACTCCTTGAACTTGATCTTATCTGAGAAGCACTTTATCTGCCCTTCCATTCTAAATGAAAGCTTTGCTGGATAGAGCAATCTTGGTTGTAGATCTTTGGATTTCATGACTTGGAATACTTCTTTCCAGCCCCTTCTTGCCTGTAAGGTCTCTTTTGAGAAATCAGCTGACAGTCTGATGGGAACTCCTTTGTAGGTGACTGTCCCCTTATCTCTTGCTGCTTCTAGGATTCTCTCCTTCATTTTAATCTTGGCTAATGTAATTATGATGTGCCTTGGTGTGTTCCTTCTTGGGTCCAACTTCTTTGGGACTCTCTGAGCTTCCTGGATTTCCCGGAAGTCTATTTCCTTTGCCAGAATGGGGAAGTTCTCCTTTATTATTTGTTCAAATAACTTTTCTACTTGTTGCTGTTCCTCTTCCCCTCTGGTACACCTATAATTGGGATGTTGGAACGTTTAAAGATGTCCTGGAGGTTCCTAAGCCTCTCCTCCTCTTTTTGAATTCTTGTTTCTTCATCCTTTTCTGTGTGGTCATTTTTTTCTCCTGGTCCACTCCTTTGATTTGAGTCCCAGTTTCCTTTCCATTACTATTGGTTTCCTGTGCATTTCCCTTCATTTCAATTAGTTTAGCCTTCATTTGTTCCTCTAATTTGTGACTAAAATCAGCCAGTTCTGTGAGCATCCTGATCACCAGTGTTTTGAACTGTGCATCCAAAAGGTTAGCTATCTCTTGGTCACTTAGAGTTATGGGCTCTGCGGCTTTGAGTTCTTCTTGAGCCATAATGTTTTGCTCTGTTCGCACCTGTTATGTATGGGGGGGCGGAGCTTCAGGTGTTCACCAGGGTGGAGCCACCCAGGTCGCTGGTTTGTGACACTGTATGTGGGGACGGGGTCAGAGAGGGACAATGGCGGTCCCCTCTGCCGCTTCCCCCCACTGGGGCCTGTACAGTCCATCTCACTGCTCACTCTTGGGCCAGTTTATCTGCGCGCAAATGTGTGACTGCAGTCAGCCCTCAGTGGGTCCGCTGCCTTGCACCCTCAGGGGGTCTGTCCGCTGCTACTCCACACCTGGGATCCGCCCACGGCTGCCTATGTGCCTGGGTCACAAGCCCAGGTCCGTGCAATGGATCTTTCTTGCCCGACCCCACTCTGCTGGCTCTGCCCCTCTTACCGGTTTGGCTGAAGGGTTCGTTGTTGTCAGACTTCCATATAGTTCAATTTTTAGTGGTTTGGCTGCGTTTTTGTTGCTAAAACTTCGTTGTTTTTAAACTTGGTTGTGTGAGAAGGCACAGTGTTTCCACCTATGCCATCTTGGTGGAAGTCACCCCAACTTACTTTTTAATAAATGAAATAGATGCTTTATGAACATAGGATGATGCATAGATGACACTTTGTCTATTTTTTTTATCATTCTAATGAAATTAGTGGATGGCCACAATAGAAGCATAGGCCTTAATGATATCTCAGAAAACATTTTCCCATAATCCTTGGATTGTTCTTGGACTACTCTCATTCAGAATTCTGTGTCCCTAATAAGAATCTTCAGATTTTGGAGACATTTACCAAGCAAACACTGATTTCTCATCATCTTTCAGTGAAACCTTGGGTGGCCTTCAGAATGGAACAAAGTAAACACCAGAAGGTATTTCCCAAATCCTGTTGACAAGAAAATTTTCCTCATGGACAGAAATGCAGGTAAGAGTAGGAAAATGCAGAAAGTATCCTAGGAACTGCTGCCTTCCTTTCCTGGTCTTCTCAACACATTGTCCACCATTATCATCTTTTTTTAAAGATTTTATTTATCGATTTTTTTTTTTAAGATTTTATTTATTTATCTTTAGAGGGTAAGGGAAGGAGAGAGGGAGAGAAACATCAATGTATGGTTGCCTCTCATGAGTCCCCTGCTGGGAACTGGCCTGCAGGGAACTGGCCTGCAACCGGGTATGTGCCCTGACTGGGAATCGAACCACGATTGTCTGGTTCGCAGGCCCGAGCTCAATCCACTGAGCTACACCAGCCAGGGCTATTTATCGATTTTTTAGAGAGAGGGGAATGGAGGGAAAAAGAAGGAGAGAAACATGAACAGGTTGCCTCTCACACTCACCCAAGTGGGGGACCTGGACCGCAACCCAGGCGTGTGCCCGGACCGGGAATGGAACTGGTGACCTTTCAGTCTGCAGGCCAGCGCTCAATCCACTGAGCCACACCAGCCAGGGCTCATCATCATCTTAATAGTTAACAACTACAGCAACAATAGTAACCACCATTTGTTTCATTCTCACAATGTTTCAGACTAAGAATTTTATGTGAATGAACTCACTCAAACATTACAACAACCCGATGAGGTACATACTATAACTCACCATTCATGATGAGGGAAGTGGGCTTTCAGAGATACAGAAATGTTTGACTATATGTCTAAGATCACAGTGTCGGTGGTAGTGCAATCTAATCCTTAGTTGCTTCTCTAAACCACTTACAAACTCATTAAAACTTTCATAGTTTTACCCTAGCCACAATGACTCAGTTGGGTGTCATCCTGCAAAGCAAAAGACCGCCAATTTGAATCCTGGTCAGGGCGCATGCCTGGGTTGTGGGCCAGGTTCCTGGATGGGGTACTTGCAAGAGGCAAGTGGTCAGTGTGTCTCTATCACATCAATGTTTCTCTCCTTCTCTTTCTCTCTCCCTGAATGTCTCCCAAGAAAATAAACGAAATCTTTTTTAAAATTTAGTAAAATAACCTTTCATAGTTTTCTGAAGTTGACATTGTCTTATCCATATATCATTACATCTGACTTATGGTTTCAACCAAAGTTCTTCTCTGCTATGCTGAACTGAGAGATGCACTAAGACCCTCTGACTAAGGAAAACATGTGTAGGCAGTTGGTGCAGTAGATGGTCCCAGATGAAGAAGAATGTAAAGTGTCCAGGATCACAGCCTCCCACTCTAATAAAGAGCATCTCCCACCCCTGAGGAGCTTCAGGTTTCATGATTGAGAAACAACAAATAATAAAATGACCTGAGGTCTTCATATAGGTTACACACTATTCAATAGAAACTCATCCGTCTGGAACTGATTTCAAATGCCCTGTATAGGGTGAAGTAACAGCTTTGTCTGAGCTCTAATGAGGCCACTCTCATCTTGTTTAGAATCATTTGTTCATCCTGCCTACTCTGTGTTGTAAGCTCTTTGAGGGCCTGGTCCATACCTGAGACTTCTCAGAGGTCACAGGCCCAGTTCAGGGCTCCTGAGGGCCCCCGAATGTTTGCTGAATGAAAGATTTCACAATTACTAATTAAATTAGAAGATGATCAATGAACCCTGAAGGTAATTTCTGTGGAATTGAAATATGGAGAGAGAGGAGGGGTAAATTGATAGTACATTCATGCTGTATTACATAATTCACAGAATACTTTGTTGAATATTATTTAATTGCATGTTCAGAATAACATTAAAAATTAGCATGTTATAGATCAGGAGACTGAAGACAACTAGCTACTGGTACAGCCTTATTTAGACAATTGCTGAGAACCAGCTAATCTACATAGAAATATTCTTTTCAAGGTATTACATATTTTCTCACCATTTTATTGTCTAGATATGTTTCTGCCAACTATTTATTTATTCTCTTCCCAATATCCTTCACTCTCAATATTATAGAGACAGTTGAAAGAAAAGAGCCATAAGGCATGGGTTCTAATCTTGGATTCATTACCCACATTGGCCCTATACCCTGTAATATTTATACTCCTCAGGTATTTCCAAGGGTTGAAGTATTAAAGATGTGCATGTAAAATACATGATAAGCCTTAAAAAACTAAATACATGTTATTTTCTAATATATGACTTATATTGAAGGCAACATCCAGGGTGGCATTAAGCAATGAATACATAGCTTGAGGGAATTGTCAGGAACAGCAAATTTCATGACTGCAAGTGACTCAGAGCAGGCCCAGAAACCAGTGTTCCCTCCTGGAGAAGCACGTCCCTTTGGAAAGCACACTAGACAAAAATTGGGTAAGAGAAAGTAATTTGGGAACTTTAGTTCCTCTAAGTCCTACAGAAGGGCTGATAAGTATGCCCTAGGTCTGTGGGGCAGACTTTGGTAGGCCTGGATATAAGCTGGGCTAAGCTGACACTGAAGTTACCACTGGACCTTTGGGCAAATCCTATAAATTCTCTGAGCTCCTGCATGCTAATGTGTAAAGTGAAGATAAGGAAACATCACTCATATATTGTTTGAAAACATTAAATTGAATTTCAAACAGGTGACACATGCAAGTTGTCCAAAAATCCATGTGTGATAATAGCAACCACACTACTGGTGTTGTGTGCCCAGGCCTTTACTCAGTGCCTAACACATAATGTGCTCTCCATAAATATTTTATGAACAATTAAAGGTTGGCAAGTTAAACCTGGTAATGCAAAGATCTATAAACTAAAATTGAATCATTCATCTGTAGTTAGTATGACGTCTTAATCTTCTGAACTAATAGTAGACAGTAAAATACCAGAGTATGCAAAGGACAGGTGATAATTTGATGGGAGGAGATTGTATGTTATCTGACAAAATGGGAACTAACACTCCAGACCCCACCAACCTGGCTCACCTGCTCTTCTCCAACTCAGAACTCAGTAGAAAGGAAATGGACGTGAAGATGTACAACCTACAAGAAAGAAAGGACTGTGGGTACCAAGAGGTCACCGAGCCCCAGGATGATGACTACCTCTGTAAGTGACCCTCACTAAGAAGCAAGTTATGATACAATAATTCCATCTGGTCCTTTGGTCCCCAGATCATCCCCTTCCTTAGTGACCTGGAGCACAGGACTGAGTCTCAGTGATGTCAGTGCAGGACTCCCTCTGAAGCTCTTTGTGTCCAGGAACATGTGTTATAGCTTTCCTAACCCCTGTTGCTCTCGCCTCCAGATTGTGAGAAGTGTCAGAACTTCTTCATCGACAGCTGTGCTGTGCATGGACCCCCTACATTTGTAAAGGACCGAGCAGTGGACAAGGGGCATCCCCACCGCCCAGCCCTCACCCTGCCCCCTGGGTTGAGAATCGGGCCATCCTGCATCCCTGAGGCTGGGCTTGGAGTGTGGAATGAGGCAGCTGATTTGCCAGTGGGTCTGCACTTTGGCCCTTATGAAGGACACATCACAGAAGATGAAGAGGCAGCCAAGAGCAGATACTCCTGGCTGGTGAGAACTATTTACCTCTTCCACTGTCCCCTGGCTTCCCACATTCCTTCTGAGGCCTGGAGGGACCTCACCTCCTACATGCTAGACATGGAGGGGACAATGTGGTTTGCTCTGTGTACTGACTGGTCTTTGCATGAACACAGAGCTCCTGTTGAAGGATCAGAAGATAAGTGGGAGCAAAGTGGTACAGACACAAAGGAGTGGCTTCTCCCTTGTGGGGCTTCTGCTGTGATTGAACAGGTAGACTCGGGTGTTTAGGTGCTGAGTAAGAAAAATATCATATGGTCACAGCTGGTAGTTGAATCCCCAAACAGGCGGAGAGAGCTTTGTTGACAGTAGAGTAAAATTCTCCTGACTATTGCCTCCCCACACACAAAAAAGTAAAAGGTCTTTAACTTCTTTTCTGAAACAGATCGCCAAAGGGAGAAACTGCTATGAGTATGTGGATGGAAAGGACAGATCCTGGGCCAACTGGATGAGGTGAGGTCAACAGGTCTCTGGGTGTCAGAGGGGACACTCCTCCCCCACGAGCCCATATATCTGTCCCTCTCATCATGCCCCCCTCAGTGGTCTCCCTTAATCCTTTGTTCCCTCTTTTTCTCCATGCAGTGTTCTTTCATTTCAGGGGACTTTTAGGAAGAAAGTATAGCACAGGGCCTCAAAATATAAAGGTCTCTGCCAGACACAATCTGAATGCTGGGAAGGTCCTTGAAGAGTCTAGATACACCAGGGGCACTGGATTACACTTTAATGTATCACATGAACATTAATTAAGCACTTAGTATATTGCAGTGTAGGTGGAAGAATATAACATTACTTAAACAGATCACACAACCCATGTTCTTATGGAGGACTTCTCACAGACAGACATAAATCAGTTGCTTTTAGAAACATTTAACTGTAATTTCCAAGAAGTGCACAGTGTCAAGATAGCACAAACCATGGTTGGCCTAAAATTGTTGTGAGGGCAGCAAACCATCCCAGCCTCGCTTCAAACTAGAGCTGGGCTCTGAGGCCTGCAGAGGAACGGTCATGGGCCCCTTTCCTGACAGCGGTTCTCTTTTATCAGGGATCACAGCATGTGAAGCAACTACTATTGTTTCTGTTTTATTCTAACAAGACAAAAAGACCTTCAGTTTTCTATAGTAACCTTGGGCGGGCAAGTGAATGGTACCCTAAATGAAGTGTAGGGGGGTTGGAGAAAGGCCTCTCAAGACAAAACAAACGTGGGCTGAGTACTGGGTAATTAGTGAGCTAATTTAGAAGCAGAGCCCTAGATCAAGCACCAGGTTCTGTGGTGTGAGACAACTTGATTGAGAGTTTGGAGAAGCCAGAAATCACTGGATATTATGTCCAGTCATGGTGGAGGTTAAGTCTAGAACTGGGTTCTAGGAAATGGTATTAGGCAGGATGAACACTGCAAGCAGAACTTGGAGGTAGGAATTCACATGCCATGCTGGCAGATGCCCAGACACTGAACAGAAGGTTCCCCGGGAGCATTAGGGGCAGTGGGCAACACCAGAGCCTGAGGGCCTTAAGAATCAGTGAGGGGCTGGACATGGTTGTAACAGGTAGTGGGAACTCATCACTGTGCTTTTCTTTCCCTTCCTCTGCCTCAATCCCAGGTTTGTGAACTGTGCCCGGGATGATGAAGAGCAGAACCTGGTGGCCTTTCAGTACCACAGGCAGATTTTCTACCGAACCTGCCGGGTCATCAGGCCGGGCTGTGAGCTGCTGGTCTGGTGCGGGGACGAGTATGGCCAGGAGCTGGGCAGCAAGTGGGGCGGCAAGTGGAAGAGAGAGCTCATGGCCGGAAGAGGTGGGCACCACTGTTCTTCAAAACAGAAAGAAAGAGAATTCTCCATAGACATATTCATGACCCAACTCCTAAGTAGAGTAAAATTCACTCCAAAGTCAGTAAAGTGTCAAATCACATGCTTGAGAAATTAATAATTCATTCATATGCCTTTGACTCTTAGGCAAAATTTTTATATTTTTTATTTTTAAAATGTTTCATGAACAAAATACACAGTTGCAAATAGTGCTGAAAGACTGAAGGGCAAAACAAAAATTTTCAAGCACTAACCAGCTCTCTCACCAAAGCAGTTTTTCTGTCACTTTTATAGCTGTTTCTTCTTAATTTTCCTCCAAAGATTTTGCCCTGGCTGGTGTGGCTCAGAGGACTGAGCACCGGCCTGTTAACCAAAGGGCTGCCAGTTTGATTCTGAGTTGGGGCACATGAGTGGGATTTTGGTCAGGTCCCCAGTACAGGGCATGTGAGATGCAAGCACACAGTGATGTTTCTCTGACCTCTCCCTCCCTCCCTTCCCCCTTCTCTGAAAATAAATAAATACATAAATCAAATATTTTAAAACAAATTTGTGTTTATTTTTACAGAGTGGAAAGGAGGGAGAAGGAAAAATCAATGTGCAAGGGAAACATTAACCGGTTGTCTATGGCACACCCCCAACTGGCCCACAACCCTGGCACGTGCCCTGACTGGAATTGAACTTGTAACCTTCCAGTTTTCAGACAACCCCCAAGCCACCAAGCCACACCATTCAGGCAGGCAGGGCACATTCGTTCATCATTTCAGTGAATTACATGTGAGATCCTACTCTGGTGAACAGTGTCCTGGGACCTGGAAATACAGATTAACATGAGGGTCAGAATCCCTGCTCTTGAGGAGCTGACGGGTGAAGGAGGGAAACCCAGACACACGTGCTTGCGTGTGCATAAGACTACAGAGCAGTTAGTGCTTTGGAGAGAACTCATCCAGGACCATCGCCTGGGGATCAGTGTGAGGGGAGGTGCAGTGTGGCAGGCGGTCCAGGTGAGGCGCTCTCCAGATACAACATTTACAGAAACTGCAGGCAGAGGATCCCAGGCAGAGGGAGCAGCTAGTGCAGGGAAGGAAAGAGGTGGGGCGTTGAGTCGGCTGAGGGTCACTCAGGTCTCGGCTCAGCACAGAGGATAAGAACGGAGAACAGACAGGTCTGGAAATGCAGTGCCGATGATCCGAGTTGAGACACTGGGGACTTTCCTGCGTGCAAGTGTGCAGTCAGCTGTTGAGTGGTGTGTTCTCTGTTCCGATTGTACTTTGTTAATTTTTAGAAAATAAACTCCAGTGGGGAATCCTCTCAGGGATCACTTCATCTCCAAGTGAGAGAGCATGGCGGGTTGGCCAGAGGAACAGGAGTCGGGCATGTAAGATGTATGGTTGGAGAAATATTTTGAAAGAGGAGTTCTCAGTTTATTTGAAATTGGCTAATGCTGAATGAAATGAAGCATGAATATCTGGTGTGAGGCTTGAGGAAGGACTTTTTTAAGGTTTTATTTATTTTTAGAGGGGAAGAGGGAGAAAGAGAAGGAAACATCACTGCCTGGTTGCCTCTCACACGCCCCCTGTTGGAGACCTGGCCCACAACCCAGACATGTGCCCTGACTGTGAATCTAACCTGTGAGTCCCTGCTTCCCAGGCAGGCACTCAATCCACTGAGCCACACGAGCAAGGGCAGAGAGGACACCTGTAGTTGGGAAAGGTCGCTGCAGTTCAGGGAGTGAAATTGCCTCTCATGCTATTCAAAACTCTCTATTCTGAGCAGTATTAGCAAAGACCTTCATGTGGGCTCTCTGGATTTCTGAAGAAGATGCACTGCATAAAAATAAACAGGAAAATAGATGGTGAGTGGACACTGTGGGAGACAGAGTTTGCATTGTCACCACAGTAAGAAGGACTCATGGGGCAGGTCTTACCAGGAGACAAGTTGTACAGCCCAGGCATTGTCCTCAACATCTGCCCTGACCAAACCTTTCTCTTTCAGCAGAACCAAAGCCAGAGGTGCACCCATGTCCCTCCTGCTTTCTGGCCTTCTCCAGTAAGAAATTCCTCAGCCGACATGTGAAACTCAGTCATCCCTCTCAGATTCTCCAGGGAACATCTGCAAGAAAACAGCTCCAAGCAGAGGAACCCTGTCCAGAGGATCAGAATCAGCAGCAGCAACATACTAGTACGCACAGCTGGAATGATAAAGCTGAAGGTCAAGAGGTCAAAGAAAGGTCCAAACCTTTGCTTAAAAGGATCAGTCAGAGGAGAATCTCAAGACCCTTTTTCCAACCTTCCAAAGAACAAATGAGCTCTAGTGAGCACGAGAGACTGATGGAAGAAGAGCCCCGGAGAGGCCAGAAAGAGAATCCAGAGGACACAGGCAAGTTCTCTGTGGAAGCAGGAATGTCACAAATTGTAACAGTCGAGCATGGAGGGTGTTGGCAAGGCATTAATGATGGATCACATCTCATCACACATCAGGGGACACACTCTGGGGAGAAGCCCTATGTTTGCAGGGAGTGCGGGCGAGGCTTTACACGCAAGTCAAATCTCATCAGACACCAGAGGACACACTCTGGGGAGAAGCCCTATGTTTGCAGGGAGTGTGGGCGAGGCTTTGCATGCAAGTCAGTTCTCATCACACACCAGAGGACACACTCTGGGGAGAAGCCCTATGTTTGCAGGGAGTGCGGGCGGGGCTTTACATGCAAGTCACATCTCATCCAACACCAGAGGACACACTCTGGGGAGAAGCCCTATGTTTGCAGGCAGTGTGGGCGAGGCTTTACATGCAAGTCACATCTCATCGCACACCAGAGGACACACTCAGGGGAGAAGCCCTATGTTTGCAGGGAGTGTGGGCAAGGCTTTACCTGGAGGTCAGGTCTCATCACACACCAGAGGACACACTCAGGGGAGAAGCCCTATGTTTGCAGGGAGTGTGGGCAAGGCTTTACCTGGAGGTCAGGTCTCATCACACACCAGAGGACACACTCAGGGGAGAAGCTCTATGTTTGCAGGGATTGTGGGAGAGGCTTTAGACAGAAGTCATGTCTCATCACACACCAGAGGACGCACTCAGGGGAGAAGCCCTATGTTTGCAGGGAGTGCAGGCGAGGCTTTGCACGCAAGTCACATCTCATTGCACACCAGAGGACACACTCAGGGGAGAAGCCCTATGTTTGCAGGGAGTGTGGGCGGCTCTTTACAAACAAGTCAAGTCTCATCGCACACCAGAGGACACACTCTGGGGAGAAGCCCTATGTTTGCAAGGAGTGTGGGCGAGGCTTTACACGCAAGTCACATCTCATCAGACACCAGAGGACACACTCAGGGGAGAAGCCCTATGTTTGCAGGGAGTGCGAGAAAAGGTTTACAGGCAAGTCAGATCTCATCAGACACCAGAGGACACACTCAGTGGAGAAGCCCTATGTTTGCAGGGAGTGTGGGCGAGGCTTTACATGCAAGTCACATCTCATCGCACACCAGAGGACACACTCTGGGGAGAAGCCCTATGTTTGCAGGGAGTGTGGGCGAGGCTTTACACAGAAGTCAGATCTCATTAGACACCAGAGGACACACTCTGGGGAGAAGCCCTATGTTTGCAGGGAGTGTGGGCGAGGCTTTACACGGAAGTCAGATCTCATAAGACACCAGAGGACACACTCAGGGGAGAAGCCTCAAGTCAAAAAGTTAGCAAGTCACCTCATCCAACACCAGAGGACACACTCAGGGGAGAAGCCCTATGTTTGCAGGGAGTGTGGGCAAGGCTTTACATGCAAGTCACATCTCATCCAACACCAGAGGACACACTCTGGGGAGAAGCCGTATGTTTGCAGGGAGTGTGGGCGAGGTTTTACACAGAAGTCAGGTCTCATTACACACCAGAGGACACACTCTGGGGAGAAGCCCTTTGTTTGCAGGGAGTGTGGGCGAGGCTTTACACGCAAGTCAGATCTCATCAGACACCAGAGGACACACTCAGGGGAGAAGCCATGTTTGCAGGGAGTGCGAGAAAAGGTTTACATGCAAGTCACATCTCATCCAACACCAGAGGACACACTCAGGGGAGAAGCCCTATGTTTGCAGGTGGACTGAGTGACTCGTTAGCATTAAGTCACATATCAGTAGCCATAAGAAGTCCACAGCCCCTCACAGTCCCCAAGATTGTAATTAGTACAGAAGTAACTAGTTAAACCTCCAGTTTCATGACAAGAGATGAGATGGACTAACAATTTCATAGTGATATGGGGATGTCAGTACCAGTCTCGTTTCGGGATTTTTGACATCCTATTCTGAAACATTTTATCTCCATACAAATACGAAAGAAACCCAGTACCTCATTTTACCCATCACTGAAAGCAGAGGGTTCCTGAAGAGCCACAAGGAACTCACACTCGGCCACATAAATTCAGCTCCTGCCAATGTAAATCTGGAGTCAGTCTCCTTTGGTTACTGCCCAGAGAGGGATTTGAGAGACGCATCAGGGAAGGGAATTCTCCGGACTCATGGGAAGGGGGCCTTTTCTCCTAATCAGCTCCCTACCCTCCTCCCTTGGCTTCTCTTGGCTCTATGGTTTCCTACAACCTCTGGAGCCTCAGAGGTGTAAACTGCAGGGAGAGATGGATGCTTGTGCATGGACGTGAGCCTGGCTCAGCCTGGGCACCTGGTCTTCCCCACTCTCCTTGCTGCTCCTTCAGGGTCATCACTTCCTGGTGCACAGCATACAGATTCCACATCAGTCCATACTGGATGTGAGTCTCGGCTCTGTCTTCTCCAGCTGTTTGACCTAAGGCAAGATTCGCAACTCTGCCTGCTTCCTAGTCTGTGCAGTGGAAATGGGAACTCCAGCCCTTGGGTTTGACTTTCAAAGTTGAGTCAGCACAGACAGAATCTGGCGAGAGGATCACTGAGATCACAGGTCTTGCTGAACAGCCTTCAGCGCCCATGTCCTCCTGGTCTTTAGTGCTGGACAAAGGAAAATAAGGACAGGGTAGGAGTCTGTAGCCAAGTTCAGAATTTGACCAGACACCACTGCTTTCCCCAGTAGACTCAGCTGCCCTGAGAAGGAGGCCTGATGTGGGGGATGTGCCTCCCTCCAGGTCACCTCGCCTCCCACTGACCCTGCACACACTCAGAGCCTCCTCCACACACAGCTGCTACTGAGCGAGCTGTGAAATAAGACCCTAGCCCACCGTTTGCTGAGAACTGACATTGGGAAAAACATCTGCCCGCACTGGTGTGTTAGGATAGCTGGTGAGCCAAGGCAGGGAGGACGAGGAAGACATGTGCTACCCACTGACTCAGCAGTCCTGCACCTTGGTCCAATTCTATTGCCAGATGTTCCAGCATCACAAGAAACACCATGCTAATGCGTTGAAATTCCAGGTATCATTTCCAGTATATGGGAAAGAAAGGCTTTCAGACTGTATTCATCCCAAGGGCTAGAAGATGGGAGAGGGTCTACAGCACTCAAGGAAAAGACCCATAAAACAAATTTGGTTAATAGCTTTCCTATGGCCACTCTGTTTTGTGCGAGGGTCCCTAGTGCTTACAGAAAGAACCCATTGGTAATTTTGGGTAACTGCCTCAACTTTGTCTCCTGTCACAGATCTATTTTTCAAGATGACCAAATGGGGTCTGAAGCAAGATAAAGATTCAGCATACCTACGTTTGAGTAGTCCCAGTCCCCGTGCAAGCTGATACCGCTTTTACCTGCTAATTGATGTGTAACTTCTCCCCCATCTCAGCAGCTACTGGTATACAAGTCCGCAGGACAAAGGCCCTGATGCCCTTGCCTCACTCTCATCTCAGCAAGACCTGTCCTCTTCCGTGAAAACATATCACTAATAAACCCTGCTTGCGTGCTAATACACTTGCTGATCTGTAATCCTTTACTGCGTTGGCAAGAAGGACCGGGTTTCTCCTGTGACAGGTGCACTCAATCTGCATGTGGCATTCATGGAGTCCACGAGGCAGGAGCTTCTGTGATGCACTTTCCTTGTACCTGGGTCCCACAGGGCTTCATACACCACTGACACCATCTCAAAATTATTATCGTATCTTTAAACTTTTGTTTGTGGAGTCTGATGGGATGATGAGCATGCACAATGTTGGTCGTTCCTGGCCACCCATTCACAGGTAATGTCCACAATGGCCCAAGAGCACAAAAATCCCATGGACCAAATGGGTGGGAGTCCAGCGAGACTCAAGGTGAGAACGGGTAAACACCTACGTCTGCATAAGCATAAAGGGGGGTGCAAACAGCTCCCACAGGCCACACTTTTCTTAGAACCAGAGCTGAGTTAAATACACAGAGATGTCAAACATTTAGTGAGGACCCCCTCAGACCCTCTCCTCCATGAGGCAGACCTAAGCATGACCCGCCCTGCTCCTGCTGGAGTGGGTTCACCAGTGGGGGACACCCACCCCCATGACCTTTCTGTCCTCCCAGTGGCAGGCTTTGTGAAGAGTTTCTACATAAACTATGTGGATTTCAATAATAAACATCCACTATTATTTTCTTTCATGCTTTTTCAAAGGGAGGTGTCTTTCTTGCATTGTTTCCCTTCCCTGTTCCTCCCCCCCCCCCACAGCCCAGAGAGAACACGATAAACTCAATATTCTGTGGCTTTCTGTATGGGCCATGGGAGAGGGGCAGAGTCCTGGTGTAGTGCTGGCAGAGGGGTTACCGCTGAAATACAGTGGGGAGGGGAACCCACAGCCTGCCAGGTGATGCTCACCACTCCTCTACCAGGACAGACCCTGGAGCTCTCCCAGAAGGCTTAGCGATTCAAGATGAGTAGACAGGTCTGTGCCCTCTCCCTCCCCTTCAGCAGCAAACCACATCCCTAGTATAGCTGCCAGCCTCCAAAGTGTCCCCCAAATGCACATGCTGTCACCCTGCCCTTGTACAGTCCCTCCTTCACACAACTGAGCAGATCTTTGTTGTGAAAATGGTGTGTGGCTCTCAAAGCTAAATTGGAAACTTTTGTTTCAGCCTTGCTTGCATAGCTCACACAATCTCAGACCACCTTGTGCAGGGAGCTGGGTGTTTACACACACACACCCCTTACCCACCTGCCAGTGACTGGCAGCCACCATCCTTGTTTTGAGGTGGAGGCTCCAAGGAGTGACTGCAGCCTGACATCTGCTGGATGCTGAGTCTCCTGCCTTTGCCCAGAAGCTGGTTGTTTAATGGAGAGGATGGTCCTAGGTGGGTGCCTCAGAGGGTCCTCATTTGCTCTCTGGGTGGCGCTGGGTGGACGGGCCAAACCTGCCTCTGATCCCCAGGGTGGAGCACCATGTATCTGTCTGCAGAGCGTGCCCGTGTACAACCGGAGGGTTCAAGGTGACGACCTCCAATGTGACAATTTAAGTTCTGTAGTGACAGCTGGACTCACACTGATGCCAACAGCCACTCTCCTGTCTGCAGCCTGACTATATCCAGCAGGGGCCAGTGCACATCCTGTGAATTGTGTTTGCTGGTGGCTCATGCATCACTTTATTGAGCCTCAGTGTTACCTGGGCCTGTGGCCCTAGCCAGGTGGTTCGTTAGAACCCTCTGGGCCTCATTGGGACATGCCGATCGACTCTGTCCGAGGCAAGGGCAGCCACCCCTGGGAAATGACTCGAATAGGGAAACCAGTGAAGCAGAGTCCATGACAAAATCTGGATGTGGTTGCTCTGGAATCAGGAGAGGGGCTCTGACTCCAACCACAGATTCCCATCACAGTGGCATCGGGGATGGGCACAGGCATCCTTCCGGTGACAGTCCAGCCACTGTGGCATGTGGGCCTCCCTGTGGTCGGTGCTTGTCCAGACAGCAGCCAGACCAGCCAAGTTCTCAGGACTCTGCTCAGGGTCTTGGCTGACCAGGAAGAACCATCGGTTCCAGGTTACTGAGCAGCGTGTGCTGCATGTTTTACCTGCATGGTCTCTAATCTATGAGGCAAAAACACCTTCAGCCACATGCCCAGAAATGTCAGCAAGATGGTGCAAGAGCACGACTGGCCTGTGGCTCCATCACACAGTCCAGGCCCAGAGATACGGCTGCCAAGCAGCCCGGCAGCAGCACCAGGCACACAGCTCCACCTGTCCTGCTCTGTCTTCCTGGGGCTGTGTTTTGTCCTCCTGGTAGCGAGGGGCTCCTGCACTTCCAGCATCACACTCGTCCAGTCCCAGAGACAGGGAGGGAGGGGGTGAGAGCCAGTTCCTTTGAACTGGGAGGCCGCTACTGCTGGGCTTGTTACAGTTGGGGAGCCCTCCCCCCTCTGGATGAAGCCATAGTTTGTGTCCTTTGATTCCAAGACAGAGATGCCAGGATGTAGGGAACTGTTCCACGTGGACTGGGGAACGTAGCCCAGCCCCTACTGGGAAACACCAGTGGGGAAGCAGGGTTGGCACACAGGACCCACGCCCATGGATAGGTTTTCCCTTAAAGAATCAGGCCTACATTGTACCTAGGCTGCTATGAGACTTGCTTTTGTTAAAACTCCCTCACCCTGGATTGAGGCAGCAAAGTTTACTGCGTATCTTTAACTTCCTAAAATCTGTGCTAAGCCTCCCAAGTATGGAGTGTAACTGGTTCAAACACTTTTCCCCTTGATCTCCAACATTATTCTCTTTGAAGTAATTAGCATCTACAGCCATACCAGCCTGAACGCGCCCGATCTCGTCTGAAGTAATTAGCAACGTTTTTTCCTTTGTTATCTAAAAGGTAACCACCTACAGCAAACCTGTGTATAATAAATGAGGAGCATCTTAGATGCAATGTGCCCAGAAAAGCAATAAAAGCCTGTCCAGACAGGGGTCGGGCCCTCTCTCACTCAGACAGCGGCCATGCCATCCCTTCTCCTCCACAGGACTGCTGTAGTCCGTGTGAATTTCTTTCTGGAAGCCACAACACACAGACCATGCGGGTGGGGTCCACAGCACCAGGACGTAGAGAATGGCAGGAGTTTGTGCCCTGATTCCCAGTGACAGACATGTGAAGGCAGGTCAGGACACTACTCTCTCGTCTAAATGGTCCCAAGCAGTAAAGCCAGCACTGTCCCCCAAGGTGATGGGCGGATGTTGGGATCTCACCTGAGGCTGTCGGCACTCCAGCCGGACTCTACTTAAGGCCGCACAGGCCTGGCTCAGGATGGAGAAATGTGCTCCCCTCGGAAACACAGCCAGAGGGGCTGGGACAGGGAGGTGGTGGGGGGACTGGCAGCAGAGGACACTCCAGGCCTGACTTCTGGCTCTGCTCCCAGCCCTGCAGGGCTGACTCAGACTCAGGGCCTGAGGGTCTGCAGTCTTGGCACAGCCTCTCACAGCCACTGCTGCCTCCTCCCCCTGCCAGCGGAGCAGCCGGGGTTAGGGCTGGGAGGTGTTCGGCCCCTGCCGGCAGGGTCGGTGCTCCTCGTCTGACTGGACTCCGGGTCTTGGGGTGGGATGGAGCTGACCGTCAGCCAGGAGCCTGTGGGGAGCCACCCAGCCCCTGACCCCCGGCTCCCATCCCTACCTCTGCCAACGTCCCTAGCTGTGGTTTGTCTGTGCCAAGCATCTCACTTGGGTGTCTTGGTATTTGGTTTCTTTTTTCTTTGTAAGTATCATTTGCATAACTCTAAATGCCCATGGTTATAGCATCAGACTGGAAAGAGTAAAAGTAAAATAACACAAATTTTAAAAAAATAACCATATTGTGCTACAAAGTGAGTTCCAACTGTCCATTGAATGAAATTATAGAAGGTATGTTACTTGTGCTCATTTCTAATAATCTAGAAATCAGGAACAGAGGGTAACTAGAAACTCCTTTTATTTGTATGTTATAAAATATATTTCTAAATAACCCCCCAAAACAAATCACAATTGGAGTTAGAAATAACTTAAACTGAGTGATGATAAAAATACTGTGTATCAAAGCCAGATCACTCAGGTTCCACAAAAGGTCAAGGTCAGTGGTTCTCAAGTACAAGTAATTTTGTCTCCAGGAGGACATTAGGTAAAGCAGGGACACATTTTAAAGTGTCATGAGGGCAGAGGTGAGGGAGGGGGTTACTGGCCAGCAGTGAATAGTGGTAATGGATGCTAATAAGCACCTGCAATGCAGAAAAATCACCCAGGAGAAAGAATGATTGGCCCAAAAGGCCCTCAGTACTATTACTAGGAAGACCCAAGTTAGGGGAGTTGGGGGATTCCCCTCCTCAGTTCTTGTCCTGCTCAAACGAATGGATTCAGACAAGGGACGACAAGCACAGTGAAAGTGAGGTAGCAGGTTTATCTGTGAAATGCACTTGACAGGAACCTGCACGCTTCCACCCAGCTAGTCTCACTGGCCCACCTGCTGGGGTTTCAGGGCTTTCCTGCTTACTGCAAGCCTCCAGGTTTCCCCTCCTCACCCTTCTCCAGACCTTGGGATTAACATGCAGTTTCAAAAGCCTCCTTCCCCAGATAGAGAAAACAGTACACAGAATTTCAAAGGCTCCCCTCCAGCTGCTGCTTTCTCTTCTGATCTCTGAAAATCTCACCTGACCCGGCTCAGGACTGCTGAATTCCTGGGTGGGACGCATCCCCATCCTGCTCTCCCTGCCTCGGTTTGTTGTCTATCCTGCTTCGCAGCGCTGAGAATGAGGAGCCCTGCTCTGCGTGGGACTCAATGACGAGTCCAGGAGAATGGAAACCGCATGTCACTTTGCTCCCTAGACCTGAAACAGTGCCTCTCTCTTTGCACAGACAGCATACAGACTGAGACCTAAAGTAAAGAATAACGACAAAAGCTCGCCATCTTGCCAAGATTGGAGAGTGTCCTAGGCTGAGAAGACACCCACATAAAGTCAGGAGACAAAAAGGTCTGGCATCCAAGGAGACGGAACCACACTGATACGCCACAGTGCACAT